CCGGTTCGCGGCCGGCCTGCTTTCCCAGCACCGGGCGTCCCTGGAGAAAGGCGGGCTGGTGGGCCGCACCCTGCGCACCTGACAAGCGGAAGCCGGAGGCCGGCGCGGTGAGGCCGCAGCTGCTCTTCACGCCCCGCAGGCTTCCCAGGAGACCGAAGGATAGCAGGAACTGTGCCTCATGGACACAGCCTCGGGTCCGGTGCGGCAGGCTCGCGAGAAGGCCTCAAGGAGCCTCTGCGAGCGTCTCGCGGGACCGCAATCAAAGCCCAGCCAAATGGGACCCCCGGTCTCGGGTCTCTCGCGAGACTGAGATCAAGGCCTGGCATATGAGACCCCAGCTCAGGTCTCTCGCGAGACTGAGATCAAGGCCTGGCGTGGTGTGGCCTCGGCAGGCTCTCTCGTGGGACCACGAGCAAGGCCCAGCCTAGTTGGACCCCCGGTCTCGGGTCTCTCGCGAGACTACGATCAAGGGGCGACCTCGAGGGGCCTCGGAGGGGGTCTCTCGCGGGACCGCGATCAAGGCCCGGCCTCGTGGGACTCCCAGTCTCGGGTCTCGCGAGACTGCAATCAAGGCCGGCCTAGTGAGACCCCAGCTCAGGTCTCTCGCGAGACTGAGATCAAGGCCTGGCGTAGTGTGGCCTCGGCAGGCTCTCTCGCGGGACCACGATCAAGGCCCGGCCTCGTGGGACACCCCCCCCCAAGTCTCGGGTCTCTCGCGAGATTACGATCAAGGGGTGGCCTCGAGGGGCCTCGGCGGGGTCTCTCGCGGGACCTCGATCAAGGCCCGGCCTCGTGGGACCCCCGGTCTCGGGTCTGTCGCGAGGCTGCCACGAAGGGTCGGGCTGGACGCGTGGATACGAGGAGCACACGGCTGCTCCCGGTCCTCTAGGAGCTGAGGCCCTAGCGAGGATCGGTGCCCGGCGTGCTGGCAGTGGAGGAGGGCAGCGGCCTGTGCCTCCGGCGGGGATGCTGGCGGCCGCGGGTGGTCATGTAGAGTCCAGGGCCACGCAGGACACCGTGGGCACCCGAGCTGGCGCCGGGCCGGGCTCCGTCTTGTTCGCTCTGTGTCCGCGTTTTCTGTGCGGTCAGGTCGAACGGCGGCCCGAGACGTCCCCAGTCCTGGTCCGGGACCTGGGACGTGTCCCCTCACGCGGCAGAAGGGACCTTGTCACGGCTCCCGAGGAGGGGGTGACCCTGGGTTCCCGGGGGGCCCGGCGTCCTCATGAGGCCCTCACGACGGGGAGGCAGAGGGTGGGAGTCCCGGAGATGGGCAGACCCCGCGCTGCTGGCGGTGAGGATGGAGGGGGGGCCGCGGGCCAGGAAGAGGCCGGAGCTGGGTCTCCCGGGGGCCCCGGGGGGACCAGCCCTGCCCGCGCCAGGGTTTTAGGACTTCTGAGCCCAGAACTGCTCAGTAATAAATCTGGTTCCTTCCCGCCACTGGGTTCGTGGTGATTTGTTGTTACAAGCGTCGCAGAAAGTCGTGCATCCATCGTGGCGGCAGACCCCAGCTGCCCACGGAGCCCACGTGCACAGGCCCAGCCAGGTGTCCCACGGAACCCATGTTTTTTTTGTTTTGCTTTGTTTTTTTAAGATTTCATTTATTTATTTGTCGGAGAGACAGCACAAGCAAGGGAAGCGGCAGGCTCCCTGCTGAGCAGGATGCTGGGTTCCAGGTCCCACCTGAGCTGAAGGCCAGATGCTTAACTGAATGAGCCACCCGGGCGTCCCTGAAGTCGTGTTTTATCACTGAGACAGGCACCTGGGGCTCCGTGGGAGGCTGCCACATGTGCACGAGTGAAACCCTTGCTTAGGGGACAAGAAGCATCCTCCAGCTCTGACCCTGTTTTTCGGTCCTTTCTTGCCGGCGTTCAGGTGGCCTTCCCCGGGTCCAGGAGCCATGGAGCCCACAGCGGGTGACTTACAGCTTGTGCCTGGGGCGGCAAAGGAAGTCCCGGCTCCCGATGCCACGTGCTGCCGTGTGGCCCTCTCCGCTGTGGTGGCCACCGGCATTGTCATGGTCACCCTGGGAGTCCTCGTGGGTAAGTGGCTGTGGGCTTGCACGGGTTCACACACCAGGTGACCTGCACTTGCTTAGGAGTGGCTCAGTGTTATCCGCGTTATGACTCCAGAATCAAAGGGCTGAGCATGCAGGCATGGAATTGAAGGCTGGCCCTCAGGCCACCAGGACGTAAGTCAGGCCGGCCAGGAGCCTGGGTCTGGTGTGCACTGGGTGGCGGTCTGGGGTGGGTGGGTGCATGGGTGGGCCAGGCACCGGGTATTCATGTTTCCCGAGGACTGGGCTTTCCCAGGAAGTTTTCACTTCTCTTTTCAAAAAAGGAGACAAGTTGGGACAGTGAAATGAACTATTTTAAATACTGAGAAATTTGGAAAGTACTTACGCTTTTTGAAGTGTAAAAAACTAACAGTGGGGCGCCTGGGTGGCTCAGTCGGTTAAGCATCTGTCTCTTGATTTCAGCTCAGGTCATGATCTCAGGGTCGTGAGATCGAGCCCTGCATCAGGCGCCACGCTGGGTGTGGAGTCTGCTTGAGATTCTCTGTCTCTCCCTCTGCCTTGCCCCCCAAAACGAACAGTGGTTTATGCTCCTACAATTCACAGTGGGCCCTATTTCATATTTGCTTCCAGTAGATAATCATATTATTTAGGGGGAACCATACAAAATTGTGGCCTCTCTATACAACGTGGGCCTGCGGTTGTGAAAATAAACAGAGGAAGCTCTCTTTATATTTCGGTAGAATGATCTAGAGATGCCTACGTTAGAAAAAGTAGGGAGAGGTGCCAAACAGCAAGGAAGGAAAACCTGTCTGCCTGTGTTCATCAGTAGTTTTTCTGAGGGAGTTTCAGAGCCTAAGTAACCGGTTACCTCCGGGGAGGACAGCATATGGTGGATCACAGGAGGGAGATTTGTCAGCAGATGCCCTTTGGTGGCTTCGGATTTTGAACCATGTGGATCTGTTATACCCATTCACATGTTGTCTTGTTGCAAAGTATAAAACCGATCACTGCAGAGGGCCACGACCTCCCTTGGTTTTCCGTGTGACGTCTCTGTGGTTTACAGCCCCGCAGGTCTCCACACACGGACACGGTTCCAGAGATGATGTCTCGTGCTGTCTTGTGAGAATGCGTGAGGTGACAGCAGGGTCTGCATACCCTCTGGGGACTTGCGCCTCTCCTTCCACCACGAGTCCTAGTTCCCCTGTGAGACCATGAGCCATTTTCATTCTTAGCCACCACGTAGAGCAGCTCTTCCAGTGTTGTCTGCCTCATTGCTGCTGGGGATGGCGGCCCTGAGCCCTGCGGGCTGGTTAGAGTTAAAGCAGTTAACATTAAACGGTATTTACAAGTCAATTCCTAGGGCTGCCTGGATGGCTCAGTCCATTGAGCATCAGACTCAGTCTCAGCTCAGGTCTTGAGCTCAGGGTCCTGAGTTACTCTGCGCCCAGCGTGGAGCCTACTTTAAAAAAAAGTCAGTTCCTCGTCCCCACCAGCCACCTGCATGGGCAGCTCATGGACACCGCACTGCACAGTGCACATCTAGAACATTCTGTCATCACAGGAAGTTCTGGGCAGCAGTGCTCTGGAACAGGCCTATTCTGAGCCGATAAGCTTCCTACAGTTTTATTTGGGGATGTGAAGGTCACCTTTCATTCATGAAATAATGATAGTAAGTGGCAGTTTGCGAGAAAATGTTCTCTTGTGGCAAAACAGTAAGTTGGCAATTCTGCATGGGTCTCTGATTTTTTTTTTCTTTTTTAAAGATTTTATTTATTTATTTGAGAGAGAGAGAGAATGAGAGACAGAGAGCATGAGAGGGAGGAGGGTCAGAGGGAGAAGCAGAC